ATATATCCTTGTGGGGATGTTAATGAGTACTAAAAACAAAGTTAGGAAGAATGAATAAGACCTACTATTTGATAGCACATCAAACTGACTATAGTCGATAATAAATTAATTTTACATTTTAAAATAACTAAAAGAGTGTAAATAGATTGTAAGCCAAGGGATAAATGTTTGAGATGGTGGATACCTCATTCTCTGGGATATGATTATTTCTCATGGCCTGCTTGTATCAAGACATCTTATGTAACTCATAGACACAGACACCTACTATGATATGGTTTGGCTCTTTGTCCCCACCCAAATCTGATCTCAAACTGTATTCCCATGTGTCAGAGAGGGACCTGGTGGGAGGTCACTGGATCATGAGGATGGTTTCTCCATGCTGTTCTTGTGACAGTTAGCAAGTTCTCAGATGATCTGATGGTTTAAGAGTATGGCCCTCCCTCCCTCACTGTCTGTCTCTTCTGAGTCCATGGAAGACATGCCTTGCTTCTCCTTCACCTTCCACTGTGATTTTAAGTTTTCTGAGGGCTCCCAAGCCATGTGGAACTGTAAGCCAGTTAAACCTCTTTTATTTTTTATAAAATAATTTTTATAAAATACCTAGTTTCAAATATGTCTTTATAGCAGTGTGAAAATAGTACTAATATAACACATACTATACACTGACAAAATTTAGAAATTTAAAAATTAAGGAAACAAATCACAGACCCTCACCACTTACATGGTGAAAATAAGAAATGTTTTTCAAATGGACACTGAATTTTGCTGTAGTTTGTTACACAGCATTACCATGATACAGATGACTTATACAGAAATTAGTACTTGTAATTGAGTGCCGACATAAAATTACCTAAAATTTGTAGCAATGGCCAGGATGACAGTCAATAAAGGAATTGTTATGGAGACTGAAAAAATTGAGATATATGTTATGTAACACCAAACCATTTGATAAACCTGGTGCCCAAGATATTGTGGAAAACTGAATATGTAAATAATTAGATTACAAATTTGTGTGAAGAGCTTTCTGGACAAAATGTTGAAAACATGAATTGGCTACTACTTGATGTGTGTGACAAGATGCCATGAGAAAAATATAAGCTCAGGAAAAAAATGAGCAGCTACAAAAGACACTTAATAAGGCAAGGAGAGAAGTCAGAAATTCTGAGATTTTAAACTTTGGATACAGAAACTGATTATTTAAATAGCGGACTGCTAAAACATGTCTTCCAGCAAAGACGAAACCCAGGGCTCCACCATGAAGGCACGGCCTTGGGACAAAGTGCAAACCAAGTGCAGGGCTGCAGATTCTTTTTCAGACTTTTGACAGGAAAACAAACCTCTCATATACAAATGTAATATGTGTATATATATATACACACAAAATATATATATTATAAACTATCCTCATATATATAAATATATATACCATATATATAAAGCATCCTCGTGTGTGTATGTGTGTGTGTGTGTGTGTGTATATATATATATAATATATATATAAATATATAAAATATATATTTAGAAAGAATGAATAAGACCTACTATTTGATAGCACATTAGGGTGACTATGATCAATAACATCTTAATTTTACATTTTAAAATAAAGAGTGTAATCGAATAACTCAAAGGATACATGCTTGAGGGGATCTCCATGATGTGCTTATTTCACATTGCATGCTTATATCAAAATACCTCATGTACTCCATAAACATATATACCTACTATGATATGTCTTGGCTCTCCGTCCCCACCCAAATCTCATCTCAAATTGTAATCCACACATGTCAGGGTGAGATAAGATGGGAGGTGATATTTTGTATGGTTTATTTTGCTGTGGTTTTACAAAAGTCTGAGGCATCTGAATTCTGAAAAATTATACTAAACTATACCTCTAGGAAGGAGATACACTGGTAATATTACAAATAAAATTCAAAAGCATTATATGTGCTCTATTTACCTGTTACCCTTATATGTTCATGTGATCATTAAACAAAAACAGCAATGAGGAAAATGTACAAGTATTTGATAGAGAAATAACTAAAACAACAGAAAATATTCATAATGTAAAGATAAATGTTAATAAATACAGAATTCCAGACTAGTGAAGTACTTTTCCTGGTTCCAATAATAATGGATATTATAAGAAATAATCTAAAATTGAAGGAATATATAGTCATGTGATTTAAAAAGAATATCTATGTATATAACTTTAGAAAATATGTTTTACTTTGTTTACAACTGACATAGTAATTGTTATATTTATAGGGTACACTGTAATGTTTTCATATATGTATATATTATAATAATGATCAAATCAAAGTAATTAGCATATCCAACACCTCAAACACTTGTGACTTCTTTGTGGTGAAAACATAAAACTTGTTTTTTGTTTGTTTGTTTATTTTTTTAAGATTCAGTTTTACACAAGAGTGGTAGGGTATATGCAGAGAATGAAGCTGGACCTCTACATTTTATCATACACAAATATTAACTCAGGAGGGATTAAAGACTTAAAGGCAAGACCTAAAACTATAAGCATCCTAAAAGAAAACCAAGGAAAATGAATTTTTGCCAACAGCATTGGCAAACAATTTATGACTAAATCATAAAAAGCAATTAAAATGAAACCAAAAATTGGCAAGTGGGACCTAATTAAACTAAAGAGCTTTTGTACAAAACAAAACAAAACAGAAACAAAAACAAATGAACAAAAAGCAAACCTACCAACAGAATAAACAGACAATCTACAAAACAAGAGAAAATAGTCACAGACTATGCATATGACAAAGGTCAAATTTTCTGAATCCATAAAGAATTCAGTCAGTTCAACAAGCAAAAAAACAACCCCATTAAAAAGTGAGTGAAGGACATAGATACACACTTCAAAAAAAGATAAACAAGCAGTCAGCAAACATATAAAAGAAATGCCCTCTATCACTAATAATCAGAGAAATAAAAATCAAAACCACAGTGAGATATCATCTTTCACTAGTTAAAACGGCCATTATTAAAAAGCCAAAAAATAACAGATGTTGGAGAAGTTATGGAGAAAAGGGAACACTTATATACTCCTGGTGGGAATCTAAATTAGCTCAGCCACTGTGGAAGGGAGTTTGAAGACTTCTGAATTAACTCAAAGCAGAATTACCATTTAACTCAGTAATTCCATTATTGGGTATATAACCAAAGGAAAATAAATATTTCTCCCAAAAAGGTATCTGCTCTCCTATGTTCATTGTAGCATGATTCATAATAGCAAAGACATGGACAATCAAAATGCCCACCAATGGTGGACTGAATAAAGAAAATCTATTACATATATACCATGGAATACTACACAGCCATAAACAAAGAATGAAATCAAGTCCTTTGCACCAACATGGATGCAGGTGTAGGCCATAATTCTAAGTGAATTAACACAGGAACAGAAAACCAAATAACGCACGTTCTCACTTATAAATGGATGCTCAACATTGGGTAAATGTGGATATAAATACAGAAAAAATAAGCACTGGGGACTACTAGAGTGGTGAGGGAGAGAGGAGAACAAGGGCTAATAATCTATTGTGTACTATGCTCACTCTCTGACAAGACTCCTCACACCCCAAATCTCAGTATCACACAATATAAAAGAAACCTGTATATGTACCACTGATTCTAAAATAAAAGTTGAATTTTTTGATTATATTTTAAGTTCTGGGGTACATGTGCAGAACGTGCAGTTTGTTACATAGGTATACACGTGCCATGGTGGTTTGCTGCAACCATCACCCTGTCATCTACATTAGGTATTTCTCCTAATGCTATCACTCCACTATCCCCCACCCCTTCTATCCCTCCCCTAGCCTCCCACCCAACTATTTTGATTTATGAGCCAATGTTTTGCCCAAGCTATCATACCACTTTAAAAAAAATTGAATTTTTTTAAAAAAGAATATGATATCTTTTTAAAAATATATGATAGCTTGGGCAAAACAGTGGATCATAAATCATAACACTTGAGTTCTAGGACCAACTCTATCAGTACATGTTTTATGAACTTGGACAAAACCTGAACCCCTCTTGTTGACAGCTTCCTCTGTTGATTGCACTAGTAATATCTTTCCCACGTACCTCTTAAGGCTTCTGAAGTTTAAATGAAGATTAGTAAATAAGAAAGCTTTGAATGTTAGAAGTTTTATATATATATGAGCTCCATAAACTGAAGCTGTTCATAACATTCCAGGTTTGGTTCCCAGAAGCAAATAATATCAAACTGCAATATTCCAGCTCAGAAATTATTAAAGGTAAAAGTGAAATAATTTGTCAAACTTCATTTTGACAATTTATGTTCACCTCATTTGCAGTTAAATGAAGCAACATTGGACTATGTTGCACAATTTTATAGGCTTAGCAGAAAAAGTACACATCGCCCATTTAGCTAAGGATATTTTAATATATGGTGTCCATTATGAGTTGATCTCCTTCAACCATATCACATAGCTGATATGTATGTCCTTGTGAGATCACTTTGTCTATTTTACATACAGATATTTTTCAGGGTGTTGATTTTTTAACAACCTATTACATCTGATAGTATGCACAGAGAAATGACAATCCTCTGAAATGCATCAGAGCCTGTAGGTTCACCAACCCTGCAGAAATTGTCTTTAATGAACATTTTGCTAGTCATTTTTCCAAAAAAATAATTCTTTCATATAAAAAATACTTGTTTCCATTCTGTTTTTCTCTGAAGACTTCTGTTTTCCAATTTATCTCCAATTCATACACACACACACACACACACACACACACACACACACAGAGCCATCAATTAGTTTTAAATGAATTATGATTATAAATGAACTATTCTGAGAAAGGAGGAAAAGTATCTAGTTGAATCACCTTACCTTCCTCTGGTGTTGATATACACATACTCTGCATGTTGCAACAATAAACACAGCACACTGAGTAAGGTTGTGGGGGTTGGAGGAAAAATAAGATAGAATCCTTTTACTTACGGCAAATTAAAGTAGTCTCATCTGAATTATCCGCACAATCATTCACAAAATCACACAGCTTGTCTTTTGCAATGCAGTGCTTATTAGCACACGTGAATTCATGAGCAGTACATTTTCTCTCTGGGCTAAGCAAAGGGGAACAATCTTGGAAGGAAATATCATCCACTGCTACATCTCCTATGTAACTGATACCACGTTTGGCCCTGAAGACAATCTAAAAAAAAAAAAAAAAAAAAAAAAGCCAATTACAGTTAAACTGTCAATCAAGTTCAAAATCAGGGCAAACACTAAGTGTGAAGAACAACATGTTTGAAAAGTTTGAATCTGATTTTTTTAATGCCCCTATGTTGAATGTGACCCAGAAAATTTGAGGACCATTTAAGACCTAAGTCATCCTTAACACCTAAGAATGTAGGAGTGGCAAGACCACTGGCTCATGTGTAGAATTTTAAGATATGGGACTAGAAAATTGGCAGGAGTCATTCATCCACTAGTGCCTTTGCCAGCTCTCAGATTGAACAAGACCTACTCCTGTTTTAGAGCCTCACTGCACAGTAAAGCAGGTCAATCAGGTGATGAAAAGCATGCCAATCAAATGACGCACCAAGAGTGAAAAGACACAAGTAGATTCTTTACTTTGCTCAATTCTTGCCATTCCTCAGATTTGTCCATTCCAATTATTTGAAACCTAAAAGATAAGTCCTCAATACCATGAGTTTTTAAAAAATGTGGCACATCTCTGGAATTGAAATGATTTTGATTTGCTTTTGATTCATGTATGTGATAAAAAGAATCTTCATACGTCCCATTGTTTGACAATGATTTCCCACATACGGCAACTTCAGTGGAATCAGGAAGAATGAAGAATACTAACAGGAGTCATTAATGGTTTCAGAAAGTTCATCTTCAATTTGTAACAATATCCTTGCTTAGAATAAAAATGAATGCCGTTTCATAGGTACATAAGACGTCACATATTGTGTAGTTTAGGATTTTTCAGTGAAATGAATTCAGACTTTTTAAGTTTCTCTATAAGCTAAATATGTATATGTTAACATAGAAAACAAATATTTCAAAGTAATTTAGAACAATTACAGGTGAGTTAACAAGTACAGTTTTACTTTAGTGATTTTGTATGAAAAACAATTACTGCTAACAAATTTCCAAATTTTTTGACCAATTCTGGACAATTATTTTTCATAGAAGAAATAATTACAGTTTTTTTCCCCCTTCAGATGCGGTAGGTCTTTATACTATTGTGTGAACCTGAGCGCTCTCTTAACATGAGAGGATGGAATAATTGAAATCATGCCTCTCACATCAAAAGAAAAATATAACTGTGTTCATATATTAAATTTACATAAAAGGAATAGACTGTCTTGATAGCAGGTGAGCATAGAAAGAAAAAAATAAATCAGTAAGATAGATGAAAAGCTCAAAAGTGATTAAAAAGAGATGAAACCAAAAAGTATAATAAGGTCTATGACTTTCTTAAAAGGGAAATTGAGCCATGAAAAAATGTTGATATGCAAAGTGAAAAAGATAATTATCTGGAGAGTCTAAAATTTCAATATAGGCTGCAATGCTCTGTGAATAAGAAATCAGATAATGCAATGACTGCTGTACTCTTAATTTGCTTATCTTCTGTCGTGTAGGTACAATCTCAATTGCTTTCCATGTCCAAGTAATCATACCATCACTTACAATGCTTCCTACAGTGTTGGCTGGGATTCCCTAGACTTTAATATTGAATGGGATTAACTGTTCTTAAAAAAGAGAGAAACTACAATGCATCTTTTTTTTTTTCAGGCAGAATAGAGTCAGGGTTAATTATTTTTGTATGATTTGGTAGGTAATGTAGCATAACAGTTGCAATGTAGACTGGTAGAAGGCCTGACCGTATTTCCAGTCTGCCTCTGACATTTGTAGTTACGTAACTGGAGCAAAAGACCTAATTTCTGGTTATTTCTATATTCTAATTTATAATATGGAGATAATAATACCATGTAACTCAAAAGATTATTGTGAAAGCAAAATGACTATTTTAAAAATTCATATACTACCTAGCACTCAGTAAGTGCTATATATGTGATTGCTCCAATAATAAAAATTATAATTAAATATTTTGTTTAAATTGTGGGGGCTGCCCAAATAAAATTATACAAATGTCCCAGTGATGCTTGAGAATATTATTTCTAAAAATATTTGACATGTTTTCTCAAGGGCTACAGGCACTCATCTCTGAGAGACTAAAGGGGATGATCTTATAAGAAATGGCAGAATCACGAAGAGTGTGCCTAACTCATCGCTGTCTATCGTGTGCATGGCGCATAGCAATGCTCTTTGCATGAAGTAAGGGCTCAATAAAATTTTATGGAAGGAATCACATAAAACAGCAAATATTCATAACCAGTAACATTAAGTTTTAAGAGTAAAAAAATCAGGGGTATACTTCTCTTTAATACAATCTCAATATGTGAAAAATTAGAAATTCAGAATGGATAAATTAATAATTGATTGCACATGCTGAAATTGCCCTAACATTACTTCAAACATGATTTTACTATACAATTAGTTACTGCACAGAACTAATTAATTCTTCATTGCCTGGGGTGGAGGCCTATGTGTGGCACAATATAACCTTCTACATGTTCTTGATGAGCTTTCTTCTTACCTCAGTTTAAAGACCTGAGAGGCTAAACAGTTAGGATCCCGCTAATAGAAAGTTCCATATTGTGCAAGGCTATAAAATTGCTATACAGTGTTTACTACTTCCAGGTGAACTTACTTCTTACCCATATCCTAAATTATCTACAAATGATTCATAAGAAAACTGGATTTCAGAGAGAGGCAAAAGATAAATGGGATTTACTGTACCTATCATTTTAAGAAATCGGCTGTAATACTTATCAGTGCTTCCATACAATAGAACCTTGTATACTCCCAATGGAGTTGAGAGGGGCTGATCTATTAGACAAAGCACATGATTGTAGATGTATTTATCTGAACATTTACAGCCAACTTGACGATCCCAGCTGCACAAAGAAGAGTGAACATGCAATATTTAACAAGAATTTTATCCCTTCTATCTGGAGCTAAATGGCTCTAAATTCACAGAATTAAAACCCAGGCAGTTAAGACTAAGAAGAAAATGTTCTACCTAAATGGCTCTGTGCTCTCACTCTGCTTATTCAAATTTTAACAAATCTTTAGAGCTAAGCCTCATCTTCTAAGAAAATTCTCAATAAAACAACAGCTCATGGAGGTCTTGCTTTCTTGGTAATCCCTAAGAGAGATATGCTTTATGCCAAACATTTCAGCAATAGTTATTTGCAGTTTAAACATTTTAATCTATGTAGTAGCACTTTTCTTCAGTTATTAATATGTATAGGTCTGATCCTCTTACTATTGTCACAAATTACATGAAGACAAATATCGCATTACACAATATTGTGTCTCCAAAAACTATTTTTAAATGAGGTGAATCTATTCCCTACAATAAGGTTTTACAATATAATATGTTTTCCAAAGACTATCTTTTAAATTAGGTTTGAAAAAATTAATTGCTGTACAAAAGCTCTGAGAATATATTTGCAAAACAGAGGGAAATGTTCTTTATGTGTGAGAGGCTGATTCGGGTGTGAAGGAAGGTTATTCAAATTAAATGTTCCTAGAACTACGAATATCTAATTGGAAGAAATTAGAGCATTCTGAGGTTATCAATTCCTTATGGAAAATGCTCCACGGAGTGTTAAGTGCTGTGTCTATGCATCCACAGAACACATCAGAAAGGGAATGGGGTGCAAGAAGATTGTTAGTAGAGAAAAAACTAAATGAGGATGGGAAAAAATCAGCAGAACTCACTCATCCCATAACTACCTGGATTACAAACCTGTGTATGTGACTGAATGCCTAAAAATACTTCTACTCTCTTCCAGTGTGCACCTTGCTGTCCAGTTTGAGCCCACAATTTAGAAGTAATGTTGCCTTTCTTGATGAGTACCTGCAGGGATAATTTAGGTTAAAGGTGTTGAAGCATCTTTTCTTGAGAAACTACAAACCTGTAAAATTTTCCCAGTGATTTTTTAGTTGTAATATCAACATAAAGTTTTTGAGAGAAGCGCTAAGGCATTTTTTATTAGATATCTTTGTTTTCTACAGCACTGTACCCCTAGGGTACCTCACAAGCCTGGTACAATAAAGATGTGCATGAATATCTGTCAATCAAGTCCTAAAGTATCTGGGCATCATTTAATTAAGAACTCAACTACATTAACTTTTTTTATTGCATTTTAGGTTTTGGGGTACATGTGCAGAAAATGCAAGATAGTTGCATAGGTACACACATGGCAGTGTGTTTTGCTGCCTTCCTCCCCTTCACCCACATTTGGCATTTCTCCCCAGGCTATCCCTCCCCAGCTCCCCCCACCGCTATCCCTCCCCTACCCCCCCCATAAACCCCAGTGTGTAGTACTCCCTTCCCTGTGTCCATGTGTTCTCATTTTTCACCACCTGCCCATGAGTGAGAATATGTGGTATTTCATTTTCTGTTATTGTGTCAGTTTGCTGAGAATGATGTTCTCCAGATTCATCCATGTTCCTACATTAACTTTTTAAAAAATCTGAAAGCAGTACCAATTGCTGTTTATTAAATAATATTCATGTGGTCAAATGACAAAGTATGGAATTGCTTACTAAAACACTCTTTTGAGAATGATCTTTCTCATTAGATGGTTTCAGTGAGGCCATAATTTTACAATGTCAGCCCATTTCATTTTAAGTACACAGATGGGTGAGATGAGTGAGCATCTATGCTGAGCCAGTCAAAGCTTCCTGCCCAACAGCCATGAAACCAATATATTCTCATCAGTACTGTGCCCTCACTGTAAAGCAGAATCCAGATTCATCTCAGCAGACAAACTATTACAGCTCTTCTTTTAGAATGGTACAAAATGAGCCATGAATAGAGTAACTGAGGAGGGTGGAACAATTTCGGATTTTTAAAATAACTAACTTAGATAGTGTATTAAATATTTTCACGTTACTTTTTAAAGACAGAATTTATACAAGCGAAAAATTATTTGGATAAAAGATTTGTGGAAGTTCTGACTTTTAAAAGAGAAGATTAATTTTAATGATTTCTTTATCTGTTTTTTAAATTAAATTCAGATTTTTTTAATGTAATTGGAGTTTCCAGAGTCATAGAAAAAAATGTGTTATTAGCAAAAGTACCATTAAATTATTAATCTATAAAATTCAAATTAACATGGAACATTATAAGGTCAAGAAAATATAATTTCTAACCAATAAGTAAAAATCAATTTTGGAAGGCACTGAAAAAAATGTATAGAAAATAAGTCTCTTCTTTATATGGAAACCACAGTATATATAAATCTGAGAAAAACATATGTTCAAGAAACATACTGATCAACATTTAATATTGTTTTATTTATCCATGCACAAAAATAAGGATCATAGATATCATTTTGATCATTTTATAATTCTGTACTTACAAAATTTTAATTCTTTTTAAAAAGTTCATCTACCAATACCAAATTTTATTCTGAAAAAATGAAAGCCCATTTCACATCATCAATCCTAACCCCACAATATTCCAGGCAAATAATTCTCATTTTATTGACAAAACCTTACAGTAAGTTGTAGTAATTGTTTCACCTAAAACCATATTTAAAAAGTCAAATTATAACAGTAAGTTATGACTTCAACCCAGAAGACCGTTTGGATGCCTTTAGATTATTGAACATAACCATGCATGTATACACACAAATATACTTTTAAACTGTTTTTAGTATGAAGTCTTACCTTATTATAAAAAGAAAATCCTAAAATTGATATGTAATATGTTTCCAATTAAAAAAAAACCAGCAGTTTTGAAAGAAACTATGTTTACCTAAAGTTTCTTTAAAAAATGAATAACAATAGCCAGGATAATCCTAGAATAAAACAAAATAGGAGTTGGGGGAGCACCAATTATTAATATTGTAATCAACCTACTGGGAAATAAATGACCAAGCAGCTGCCCACAGTCTGTTTTTCTCTATTGGGGATAAACAAAGCAGGAAATTCATGTGGAATCTTGTTGCGAATATACTAGAGACTTCTTGGCAAACTCATGGTATTTGAGAGGGGGAGAGTCCTTATCAATAGATTGCCTCTAGCAAGATAGTCCTACTCTAAAACTGCTCGTAGTATATACAATTTTGGAATTTGTGGATTTATTTTCATTCATGGCTTCCTGGAAAGTAACACACAAGCTATGAAAGTATAAATGAGAATGCTCCAAAGTTCAGTTGGCTTCTTCAGTATAACTGATATGTCTATGCATGTTACTTACAAACCTTATGCATTATTATCTACCAGGGCATTCACAGTATGGGAAGACAGGACTTGAAAATCTAAATGAATACTCCAGAACTGCTCTCTGGCCTGTATATGTTGGAACCCCCAGAAAAAGAAAAAAAAAAACAGAACTTTCTGAAGAAATAGTTAATTGCAGAGATAGGACGGGATAAAAATAAGGTCAAGTTTGGAACATCTTGGCCAAAAAGAAAAAATATACTCAGAATGATGGGCCTTTTCAGAGAAACATGGAGGTTAGTTGAAAGAGACTGTTATTACCAAATCTGAGACAATTTGAGGACCAAATAAATAATAATCTGAATAGATTATAATACATTGATTAAAACAGAAACTTATGAGTCCACATTGATATAAAACAGGAAGTGAGCAAACAGAGAGTTTTTTTTTTAAACACGAACACAACCTAAAATGTGGACAAAACAATGGAATTAACAAATCACAATTAGGCAATCAGCATTGTAAAATTAATTCAGGCAAAAAAAAAAGCCACATTACTGAATGCAAAAATTTGTGGGTAAAACTGAGTTGAAATCAATATTTTACATACCCTTAAAATATCTCTTTGCAAAATATTTATTGATAAAAAAATGCAAGTAATGAGACTGATAAGGATCACCAGCTAATGGGATGCAATGAAAAAAATACAATATTGGTTATATGATAGGGGAAAAAAGCTTAATCCAACAAAATTAAACTAAGAGACAGTATACAAAATGACTTTGCTATAAGCTTTTAAAATATCAAGTTTATAAAAACCTAGGGAAGATAAGGAATTATTCCTGCTTGAAAGGCAGTAGAAAGAAATAACTTGGTGTAGTATGTTATCCTATACTGGATTTTTTGCTCTAAGGGACATTACCAGGACAATTGGTTTAAAAAACAATAGTAACCCTGAGTGAAGGGTATATTGGAGTTGTCCCTGCTATTCTTGAAACATTTTATGTGTTTAAACAGTTTAATTTTTTTTTTTTTTTACAGAGAAACAGTTTGACGAAGACTATTGCAGGATGTAGCACTACAGAGGCAACAAGAAGACACATCCAGGTATTAACCAAGTGTATATATCTACTTGCATAATACTCAGAACACTGATACTGAAACCTCATGCTTCAATCATCAAATAGTATTATTACTCAGAAGCTTTAACTTCAGCATAGAGACAACGTTCATAATTAAGCAGAGTAAAACTTACTTCTTAGTAGTCATGTCCAATTCTGCTAAAGCTTTTACTTCATCACAGCTTTATGAAACCTAGTGAAGTGTTGGTAATTGTCCATTTTTACTTATCAAGAGACTATATTTTAATAATACCTAATTATTTACTATGACTTTTTACATAGAAAATTTTTAAAATGTGATTGCCTAAGCAGTACCTGGAGAGAACCAACGGTGGCCCCATTCATATGTGTCCAGAACACCAAGGTACATTTTGGTCCCGTGAGTGAAATGACAGGAGTAAGAATGTCAGCCGTGTCACCAAATTTCCCATTAGAACTGTCAGCATACAAGTACCAGCCATCTGTGGTATTTCTGGAAAAAGAGTTTATCGTATTATGAAAAGAGGAAGAGGCCAGGTGCAGTGGCTCATGCCTGTAATTCCAGCACTTTAGTAGACCAAGGCAGGTGAATCACCTGAGGTCAGGAGTTGAAGACCAGCTTGGCCAGCATGATGAAACCCTGTCTCTACCAAAAATATGAAAAAAATAAGCCGGGCATGGTGTCATGTGCCTGTAATCCCAGCTATTCAGGAGGCTGAGGCAGGAGAATTGCTTGAACCCGGGAGGTGAAGGTTACAGTGAGCTGAGATCATGCCATTACACTCCAGCCTGGGAAACTAGAACAAAACTGTGTCTCAAAAAAAGAAAAAATAAAGAAGAAAGAAGAAGAGGAAGAAGAGAAAGGAGGAGGAAGAGATTGTGAAACAGTATAGTTTGTCACTAACCATATTTTATTGCTTTATATTTTTTTCCTAAAAGTATAACATGTTATGACATAAGGTCCACTGCCTTCATCAGAAATAATACCTCTACCACTTTGATTCTGAATCCACAGTACTTGCAATGATATCAGTTGGTACAACATGTATAAAATTATGACAATGGCTGAAAGTACCAAATCTGTAACAACTTGGTTGATATTTTTAGAGTAATAACACTAATACTCTAATCAGCTTTTTAGAGCTCATTTTAATGTGAGTAAAATGAGGCGGAAGAAAAAACATGAATAAGTAGGTAATGAAAAACAGGTCTGGGCTTCAGCTCATCGATCTCAACGGCTTTCCATTCAAATTTACTCTGTCTATATTGATTTAGCTCAGTTTCACTTCAACACATTTTCTTAACCTTTTAGATAATTTTAAAGAATATCCTTTCCTAGGCCTAAATTAAAAAAGAAACACAACAATGGAAACAATTAAATATCAATTTTTTCCATAAAAGGAAGAATTATGGCCCTACTTGGAAAATTAATTTTAAAAAGACAATACACTTAAGTCATTCTAGGTTATACACAGCTCTTTAAAACATAAAGAAGTGATCTGCACAGTTTGGTTATTCTGTCATTCTGTTTTTTATTAACTTGATTTCTTGCCACTTTCTAATTTAAATATAGATGATAGAAACTACAGAGTTTAAATTTGCTTCTTATTAAAGCTATTTTATTTTTGAAATTTTTATCTTTTCTGGGGATTTATGCATAGCAAACAGATGGAGAGGTGGAAGTAGTCATCCAGTCACCACGTATTTATCGAGAGCTTGGTCTTGCAAGTCTTGCTAGTGGCTGTCTAAAGTTCTAGGGATATAATTGCCTGCAAAAGACACAGCAGGGTTTGGCCTCTGGCCTCCTTATTTACTAAATGGTCAATTTAGGGCAGATGATTTAACTTCTCTGAACATCAAGTTTCTTCATTTCATAAAACAGGTAATTCCATGTATGGTGTTATTAAGAATCATAAATAAAATATGTAAAATATCTAACACACCTGCTCCAATTTATGTACTAAATGAATGGTAGTTGTAATTAGTGGTTATGTTTATATCATTCATTGTTTCTAACGAAATAAGAACTTTAGCGTTCTGCAAAGCAGAGTTATGAGTTAATTTTTAAGAGGCAGAATTATCATTTATATTTGTCTGAATTATGTCTCAGTGAAAAAGCATTTCCAGCTTTCTTCCTAGCATATCATATGCTAAATATCCCAGTAATAATAGGGACACCCAGAACAGGGATATACTTATATATTCAGATATATAGAGGCAACAGTCAAGAAAAAATTGCATGCACATCTCTATATGCATATGATTTATTTAATCTGCAAATCATTCTTTAAGCAAATGTCAAGATTATTCTAATTTTATTATACTTCACTGAAAATTATTTCAATGTGCTACATCTAAGTGTCCTCCATGAAACTGAGTTTCACTTAATGAGAAGTAGCTTGAATGGTCAATTCCTCTCCAAATTTAATGCTACCACCTTATCAAATTTTTACTTCCTTTTGCTTAGAATAATACATCTCCTAATCGGACTTTCACATCTACTGTTGAGTCACTCTATTCATTCTTAGCATATCACTTAGAATCATCTTTTTAAAATCGACATTGGATTAAATCACATCCCCAAATCCACTTCTTAAAACCTGCTAAAGTCTTTTTAATAGGCAGAGGATACCAGGAAAGGGAAGCAAGAAGGAAAAAAGAGAAATTGATTAATTAGTACAAACATACAGTTTGATGGAAGACCTAGTGTTTGATAAATCAGTAAGGGACTATAGTTCACAATAATACACTGTACACTTCAAAGTGGCTAGAAGAGAATAATTCAGATATTTCTAACATAAAAAAAGAGAAATATTCAAGGTGATGGATATCCTACGTTCACCTACTCGACCTTTATGATTTAGTTGAATGCATTAAACTATCACATGTACTCTGGAGCTATGTACATCTATTATGCATCAATTAAAACATTGTTTTGAAATAATTAAAAATATGTATTTAATATGTCTTACAAATCCCTACATAACTTGTCTCTGTCTCACAGTAGAAACAGGAGTTGGGAAGAGATAATTCCTACCATCCCTTCTAAGCCAATACAATCTGACTCTAGTACAACACTGATGTGTGAATTATCATACTGTTTTAAATATATAAACTGATTTAAAGATTCAATGAAATCCCAACACATTCCAGAGAGACTTTATTTGTCAGAATTTGGAAAACTAATCTTAAGTCTCATATACAAATACAAGGAGACAGGACTAGCCAATTTTATTATGAGAAGAACAGAATTGGACAATTGAATCAGATATCAAGACTCCTTCAGGACATAGGCATGAGCAAAGACCTCATGACTAAACCACCAAAAGCAATTTCAACTAAAGCCAAAATTGACAAATGGGATCTAATTGAACTAAAAAGCTTCTGCTAAAAAAAACAAACAAACAAACAAACAAAAAACTATCATCAAAGTGAAGAGGCAACCTACAGAATGGGAGAAAAATTTGGCAATCTATCCATATGACAAAGGGCTAATATCCAGAATCAACAAAGAACTTAAACAAATTTACAAGAATAAAACAACCCCATCAAAAAGTGAGTGAAGGATATGCATAGACACTTCTCAAAAGAAGACATTTATGCAGCCAACAAACATGAAAAAAGTTCATCATCACTCATCATTAGAGAAATGCAAATCAAAACCACAATGAGATACCATCTCACTGGAGTTAGAATGGCAATTATTCAAAGACAGGAAACAACAGATGTGAGTGTAAATTAATTCAACCACTGTGGAAGACAGTGTGGCAATTCCTCAAGGATCTAGGACCAGAAATACCTTTGGACCCAGCAATCCCTAATCATTCTACTATAAAGACACATGCATGCAAGTGTTTACTGCAGCACTATTTACAATGGCAAAGACTTGGAATCAACTCTAATGCCCATAAATGAGAGACTGAATAAAGAAAATGTGGCACATAAAAACCATAGAATACTACAGAGCCATAAAAAAATGCATTCATGTTCTTTGCAGGGACATGGATAAATCTGGAAACCATCATCCTCAGCAACCAACACTGGAACAGAAAACCAAACACTGCATGTTCTCACTCATAAGTGGGAGTTGAACAATGAGAACACATGGACACAGGAAGAGGAACATCACATACTGGGTCCTGTCACAGGGTGGTGGGCAAGGGGAGGGAGAGCATTAGGACAAATACCTAATGCATACAGGGCTTAAAACCTAGATGATGGGTTGATAGGTGCAGTTCACCACCATGGCACATGTATACCAATGTAACAAATCTGCACGTTCAGCACATGTATCTCAGAATTTAAAGTAAAATTTGTTTAAAAAAAAGCAGTTTTATAAAACTCAGGTTAGCAGTTTACAAATTCCATTTCATATATGGTTACAAAAATAAGAAAATAACTTTAAAAACTAAGATTTTTGGTCGACAAATGCATTAAATGTTTTAAATGCAATAAATGTTTTAAGTAAAAAAAAAAAAAAAAGAGAAGACTCATTATACAAGTATAGTTACAACGTGCTATGTCCTGAACATTTGTGTTCCCCCCAAATTCATATGTTGAAATCCTAAATACAAAGGTGATCATCTTAGTACGCAGGGCCTTTGGGGAGTTGATTAAGTGACCTTAATGCAATTAATGCTCTTATAAAGGAGATCCCAGAGAGCTAGCCAGTCCCTTCTACCATGCGAGGAAACAGCCAGCAGGCACCATCTGTGAAGAAGGGAATAGGCCCTCGCCTGATACCAAGTTGACCAGCACCATGATCTTGGACTTCCAAGCCTCCAGAACTGTGAGAAATGTGTTTTGTTTATAAGTCTCTCTGTTTATGGTATTTTTTGTTATAGCAGTTTGAATGGGATAAAACATTAAGACAGAGTGGAATTATAACAAGAGCAAAAAAAAAAAAAAAAAAAACCATCCAGAGAACTATAAGAAATAGTCCTGAAACAGATCCACATGTATTTGGACACCTGATTTATGAAAACTGTGGCTCTTGTGAGTAGTGATGGAAACCATAATCTTTTTGGTAAATGAACTGAATAAGTTAGTTAGACATGAGGAGGCAAAGTGAACCTTAACTGGTATTTCACAGCATTTAAAAATAATAAATCCCAGGAATGAAATAAATCAAGCTACTTGGAATGAAAGCTTATATAACATTATTGTCATGATATGGGAATAAGAAAATTTGTTTTCAATAGTATATAAAAATCCCTAACCATAAAGGGAAATATTGAAAAAAAATGAGACTGCATTCAAAATAAGGATTTCTGCTTATCACAGAAATCAATATGATAATGAAAAGGCCAACCAATCAATGGAAGGAAACATTTGTATCACATTAAATCAATATAACATTTACTGACTGCCTTCTTTGTGGCATGCGAGCACTACACCAGATGTTAACTCTGTGTGTGTGTTATTATATGTACACATTTATTTAACTATATACCTACCAGCTAGACCTGGATAAAATAACCCAAAATGTTGATA